AGTAGAGACACATTAAACCATAGAAGAAGAAGAAGCAGCTGCAGTCTTCACCTCCGACGATAAAATGTTTGAACCACGAGGACGTTCATTTAAACTAGTGTGGATTACTGCAGTACTGTGGAGTACTGTGTTACTGCAGTACTGTGTAGTACTGTGTTACTGCAGTACTGTGGAGTACTGTGTTACTGTAGTACTGTGGAGTACTGTGTTACTGTAGTACTGTGGAGTAATGCGCCTGAAGGGGCTGATGTTGGGAGTAATAACATCATGATGTTACCATGGCAACCAGATGACACTCCATTCATTTCCTCTATTCAAACAGAAAGACTACCCCCCCCCCCCCCCCTCCTGTTCTCCATGAGAGAGAGACGCTAAAATACTTGTGGCTTCATTACAACAGATCTGTGAAACAAGCTGCAACTGAACAGAGGACGAATAAATCTATTCATCTGTCCATTAATCCGTCCTCGCTCTCTCTCCAGCTGTCGGTGTTTCCGTGCTTCGCTCTCGCATCGTTCCGGCTGATGAAACTGTAGAATGTGAATTTTCAGCCTGGCTGCTTCAGTCCTCCACCTCGGCTGTCTCCATCCCTCTCTGTCCATCTCTAGTCAGCAAAGATAAATGCCCCTCACTCGTCCCCTGTCTGCGCCTGAGCGGTGGTGTGAGTGTTTTGGCGTCGCAGCAGGACGCTGTGATAATTACAGTGTGAGCGAAGTGACAGTGTGCGTGATCAGGGTCAGGAGGCTGCAGGCGCCCACTGTGATGGAGGGGTCCTCTCTGAGGGCTGCACAATACATCCAGATACTACACCACTGATATCAGCCAGTACTGATGATTACTGAAGTCACATTAACACTTCTCTCACAACCTCAAGAGAACGCCACGTTCAGAAACATGTTCACTGTCTCAAAGATCACCTCCGAGGCTGAAGGCCATGGCATCACAGGTGCGAGACGTCCCATTCCAAAGGGTCCTCCGTACCTGAGCAATGAAGGGGCCAATGGGGGGGGGTCCTCCTTGGGCCAAACTATCCCACGATTCCCTGCACACTGGTGACAGAGCTAACAAGCTAACATGCTAACAGCTACACGTGACCTGCGTGATTTCTCACAATCAGTGTTTGGCTTTGTTACATATTTAAATGAACCAATCAGATTTGTTCACCACACATTTGACTGTGAATAAGTTCTGTTTGCTGGTGTTCATTCATCCTTCTGCCTCCCACGCCTCATTACATATGCAGAAGGAGCTCCGTTCTGTCAGCCAATCATACATCTGCAGTTATTTTTAGCCGTCCTACTGACGCTGCAGCTCCTCTGAGAGATCCTCACTCCAGAAATAGAGCGAGAGCGCTTACATAACACAGAAAGAGAGAGAGAGAGAGGATGTAAAAATCTTTTTCTTTGACATGAATAAACCAGAGAAGTTAAATCTGACCTGAGATCAGGGACAGAGATGGAAAGATCTGGATCTGGGACAGACAGTGGTTTTAATATTTAGTCTGGTGTCTGTCTTCTCTCTTGACATAAATAAATGAAAACCAGAAGAACAAGCTCTGATCCTTGAATGAATTCCTCAGACTTCAGACGTGAACATTAAAAAAGGTTTGTGGCTTTTCGCTTTTGAGTCTGAGATCAAGTCAAATCAGGTCTCAGATCAGTCCAGCTGACTCAGTGAAAGAAAGAAATCTCAATCAGCTCCTTCCTCCTGACTTCGCTTGAAACGATCTGAACGTTGGAGTTTAGAGACGCTCTTGTTTCTTACTCTGAAAGATAAAGTTCATTCAAAGTTAAAGGTTCATGAGATGAAGCTGCAGATTTAAAATCACTTTTGTCGTGAGTGTATTTGGGACTGGAACTGATAAAAACAACGATTCTTTCCACTGAGCTGCGACTGTCGAGAAACTGAATCTGTTTCCACACTTCACTGAGTTTTTCTTCCACTTCAGTCCTGAGCTGCTCTCACACCGAACCTTCAACCTCCTCTTCTTCTCTGGTTCCAATCACCACTTTAACAGCAAAGTTCAGAGCCAGAGTGAAGAGTCGGGACATCCGGGGGGAGCTCGGAGCAGAGCAGCTCCTTCAGTGAAGGACATTTGGGTGGTTTCATGTGTGTGTGCTTCCTTTGTGTATGTGTGTGTGCTTCCTTTGTGTATGTGTGTGT